CTAGGAACGGGAGTTGGGGTTCGGGTTGTCTCAGAATTGGAGCCGAGCAGAACCGTTGTTTCAGAGTCTCGAATGCGAGAAGTGCCTCTGGTGTCCATGTCAGTCTTCTTTTCCCATGTTTAATCAGATCTGTGCAAGGGGTGGCTACGGTAATGAAATTTTGAATAAACCTCCTATAAAAATTTGCGAAACCCAAGAATCGTTGAAGGGCCTTGACTGTCATAGGCCAATCTCATACGGCGGCGACCTTGTCTGGATCCATAGCCACACCCCCCAGGGGAGATTACATACCATAGGTAGTTCACGGTGTGACGATGGAACTCGCATTTCTCACCTTTTACGTAGAGCTGATTCTGCCTAAGGCGCTGGAGTACCTGTCGGACATGCTCGACATGCTGTTCCTCTGTGTCAGAATAAATCAGAATATCATCAATGTAGGCAATTACAAACATGTGCAGCATGTCCCCCAATATGTCATTAATAAAGGATTGAAAGACCGAGGGGCTGTTAGAGAGCCCATAAGGCATCACGAGATACTCGTATTGCCCAGTAGTAGTGATGAATGAGGTCTTCCACTCGTCACCCTCCTTTATTCTGATTAGATTATACGCACTCCGTAAATCCAATTTGGTAAAAATGCGAGCCGAACGAAGTTGCTCTAAGGCTGAGGGGATTAATGGAAGGGGCTCTCTTCTTCTTTGTGTAATCTTGTTCAGGGCTCGATAGTTTATACAAGGCCTAAGTCCCCCGTCCTTCTTAGCCACAAAAAAGAACCCGGATGCAAATGGGGACGTGGAGGGACGTATGATTCCTTGTTTTAGGGATTCCTGTATATATATTTTCATGGCCTCTTCTTCTGGGCGAGTCAGCAAAAAAAGACGTCCCCGGGGAGGTACAGCATTCTCATCGAGGTCGATCGCACAGTCAGAGGGGCGATGAGGTGGGAGACCATAAGCTTGGGCTTTATTGAACACATCACTAAAATCGCGATAAGTCTCCGGAATACCTGACAGAACCTCGGGGCAAGGGCTCTCGATGGAGGAGACTCAACAAGGTAGGCTTAAACATCCCAGAAAGCAGTCCGATGACCAGGCCTGGATCTCCCTGCTTCTCCAATCTATCTTGGGATTGTGGCAGCGTAACCAAGGGAATCCAAGAATGACTTTATCTTGTAAAGAATGAACCACAATTAATCGGATAGTTTCAGTGTGCAAGACTCCCGACTTAAGGGTCAGGGGTACAGTGTGATGGGTCACCATACCCGAAGAGAGGGGTTTACCGTCAACACCCCTTACTACTAACGGCTGAGATATTTCCTCCAGGGGATTTTTATGTGACCGTGCGAACTCGGCGTCTACAAAATTTCCAGCGGCACCCAAATCTAGCAAGCCTACCCCTTTAACAGCATTCGTTTCCCAACACAGTATGATCGGTACTACTAACTGCGTTTTAGTCAGATCAGGAGGGATTAATGTCCTTACCTGAGTCTCTCCTGCTGGGATCCGTGGGGTTCTTTTAGGGCACAGGCGCATGAAATTCCCCGCTTCTCCGCAGTAAATACACAGGCCTCTGCTCCGCCGTCTTTCACGCTCTTCCGGGGTGAGCGGCGCATGTCCTAACACCATTGGTTCCAGTTCCCCAGGACGTGCTGACGGAGCTGCCGCATTAGCCTCCACCCGGTCAGGTGTGCGTCTCTGCTCCCGGAGAACTGTATCCAGAGTGATAGATAGCCGTACATATTCTCTGAAGGTTCGGGTTGCTCCTCGACAAGTTAATTCAGCCCGGATTTCAGGGCGAAGAGCGCGCTGGTAGATTATCTGTAGACAGTCTGTGGTCCAATCCAGGCCGGCGGCTAAGGTCCTGAATTTCAGGGAGAAATCTGCAGCCGAACGGTTTCCCTGTCGCAAGTCTAACAGCTGATCGCCGAGGTTTCGTTCTACTGCGGGATGATCGAAGACGTCCTTGAAAGCCCGTTGGAATTCGCATGAAGATTGAAGCAATACGCTGTCTTCTGACCATAAAGCGGTTGCCCAGGTAAGAGCTTTTCCCCCAAGTAGAGATATTACGAAGTGAACTTGGTCTTGATCAGAGGTGAACAGGTCAGGGTGGTGTTCAATGTACAATCCACATTGCATTAGAAAGGCTTTGCAATGGTCAGGATTGCCATCGTACCTGTTCGAGAGAGCTACGGGCACGGGGGGTCGAGGTGGTGTTGTCGGGAGAGGGATCGCCGCTGCTCCGGTAAGCTGTAGTAGGGAGATCTGTTCTTGGGCTGTTAGCAGCTACAAAATCTCTGGATTAGAAGTGTCTGCTATAAAGGGAAATTCTTACCTGAAATTGCATGATGTATATTTGCAAAAAATGATTGCAGTCACAAAAGACAAAATTCCTAAGGAAGAAGACATCAGAAAATGGTCTTATCTAAGGGATGTGGAGTTGACACCAATAGATGCTAGTGTATACTCTTAAAACAAAAGGTTCCATATTGAATCTTTAAAGGTTCTATAGCTTGGTACATACACTCACCTAAAGGATTATTAGGAACACCATACTAATACGGTGTTTGACCCCCTTTCGCCTTCAGAACTGCCTTAATTCTACGTGGCATTGATTCAACAAGGTGCTGAAAGAATTCGTTAGAAGCTCAAAGCTTCTATATAGAACCATTATAGAGGGTTCAATTAAAAGAACCCTAAAGGTTCTTTGATTTAAAAAAGAGGGTTCTAAACAGCACCTTTAAAAGGTTCTATATAGAACCATTTCATAGGGTACAATTAAAAGAACCCTAAAGGTTCTTTGATTCAAAAAAGGGTTCTAAACAGCACCTTTAAAAGGTTCATTTGTACTCAAATTTTTAATAATACTTAATCATTAATAATGATGAAGAATGATAATGGGTGATACTGTAATAGTAATAAATAATACTTCAGCAATTATATGATATGATAAATGAAT